TTAACTTGTTTAACTCACCCCAAAATTTTTTCTTATTTTCATTAAAATTTCTTGACAGTGCCTCTCCCACTCTATCATCTGCTCCCCTTTTTTGCACTCTCTCACCACTCCTCTTTCCCTTTTCTTTTACTCTCCATATATTCTGCTCTTCTTATAACACTTCTGCTTTGTAAAAACCTCCCCAAAAAGCTACCTTTTTCTCTTTTATCACACCCCCCTTTACTTCATCATTCCACCAATCACTCCTCTTTCCTCCTGCACCCCCCCTCCTATAAACCACAAACTTCTGCCCCACATTCAAAACTGCATTTTTAAAACTATTCCAACCCTCTTCAACCCCCCCATTACTCATCTTTGCACTATCCCCCTTTTCTGCCAATATTTCGCTTATATCTCACCCGAACTTCCTCCTCCCTTAGTTTATACACTTCACCTCCCTCTTTACTTGTTGTTGCCACCTTCCCTTTTTCCCATCTACCTATTACTCTAACTGTAGCTACAACTAAATAATGATCCGATATATCAGTTGCCCCTCTATAAACATGTACATCCTGGAGCCTACCCATCAACCTTTTATCCCCCAATACATAATCTAATAAACTACTTTCATTACGGCTACATCATACCCTGTATTTTTATTTATCCTCTTTTTCATAAAAATGTATTACTTTTACCAAATTTCTTTCTACCCCATACTAAAATTAAAGGTTCCCCATTTACATTTACCCGACGGGTTTTTGTTAGGTAAGACACATATGCAACAGTTAGGCGAAACGTTCATAATAAAGGGATCCCCTAACTGTTGCATATGTGTCTTACCTAACAACTCATATATATTACATTTTTTAAAGACACTGGCTATCTCCCACTGAGGTAGGGTGACCCAAGAATGAAGAAACACATTCACCATCATTCATTCAATCATAGTCTTATCAGAAGACAACAAAATGAAATAGTCTACACTGAGAGTGCACTACAAACACTTGTTATTGTAAATAGCAATGTATTATATGAAGTGCTAAACCTGTGTGGGTTAGTTAGTGCAAATATAAGACGAGCATCACTTCATCATAAAAGCAACTTAGTTACAAACCTTGACTATGAAAGAGACTGGGACAGGCTATCCAAAGAAATCAAAGGAAAATTACTTGTACTACAAGGTTCCTGTTTAGTAAGCACACAACTGAAGTCACCTGAGGAAACCTTTTTAGACCTGGTTCTGACCCAAACCCAAAGAATAGAAGACTAATCATGGACTGAGTGGGGGTTTGGGAACCCATGGCAAGTGGTTAACGCACTGGCCTGTGAGTTTTAGAAATTTACTTATCATGGGTTTAAATGCCATTCGTTTCGTGATTCGTTGGCCCAATTGATTATTACGATTTCACGAGAATAAAAGACTAAATTGAAGTTGGTCGAAAATTCATCCTCACCTTGGATCACTGCAGCATACGACAGAATGCTGTACAACCCTTGAAACCCCAGTGTGACTACCAATTTATGAGAGAATTACTAGAGCAGCATCATATTTAGAGACACAACCTCTAACAATCAAAGTGGTATTGCAATATTAGATTATGTAGAGGAATGAAAAAAATGTTCACCTCATGCAAAATTTAATATCACATAATATATGGTACCATAATAAAAATCCTACATAACACTCAAAAAAAGAAAAAAAAATTGTCCTAAGACCTATGGATGAAGCAGAGAGCAGAAAGATCCATTACAAAAAACACCTGATGAGGGGAAACCAGTGGAAATTGGGAAGAAAATGATAAAAATGATCCCAAATAAGAAGTACATATGCCAGAAATAAAAAAACAAAAAAACAAGTAAAGGGTCAAAAAAAAATATAATTATTTTATAATAGATTAATAAAACAGGCCACATATATCCAAAACAAATATTTTGTAATGGAACTCATACCGGAAAAAAATTGAGGGTAAATAGTTCCTGCGAGGGTGTATAATGACCGAGGAGCGTTGCCAAATACGTACTATAGATACAGCAAGGTGCTTTACTTAACATTGGAGCCGAACGTACACAGCTAGGAAGATATAATGTGTCCTTTTATAGTCTAAATACTGTATTATAAATGGAATTTATAATATAAAGGATATGTAATTTTCAGTAATAATAATATTAATAGTATATTTTGTAAGTTATTATGACTGCATACTCTGACTCCCTATGAAAATATTCATTATCATTGTAACATGCTTAGGCCCAGGTAGTGGATCCCTTATCCTCTATTATGTTTTTGAATGTTGTTATGTGTTAATGAGAATAGAATGCATAAAAAACAATGTCAAATGAATTACAACAGGCTGCACAAGAGGATAAAAGCATGCAATAGTAAGGTTAGGGATACTCTTTACAGATCTCCAGGTTCGTCATGAACATTAAATGTAATTTCAAGACACCGTATAATATATGTACATATATACATTGAATGATGGTGAAAGTGTGTTTCTTTTTGGGTAACCCTGCCTTGGGGGTGATAGCTGGTGTGTTAAAAAAAATACGAATCTGAAACTCAACCATCTTACAAAACTCTACCCGTTGTAATTATTGAGTCATTCTGCCAACACAACTCTCCTCTTGTGGTAACACTGTCATACCACAAGACAAGAGCATCAGGGAGAGATTCTTTCATTGCCAGTGTTAACTTCTCACAAAGTCTCTCAACTGCTCAACCTGCAAAAAAAACTGTGATACAATTTTAAGGTTATCTAGCAGAAATGCTTTAACCCTTAAACTGTCCAAACGTAGATCTATGTTTGTGCGCACAGCGCTCCAAACGTAGATCTACTTTTTTTTTACATGATAAACAATGTAAGATCAAACGTAGATCTACTTCGGAGAACTATGCGTGTGAACGTAGATCTATGTTTGGACAGTTTAAGGGTTAATGAAGAAAATTTATAAATCAGTGACATCAAGATAAAAAACTGCAATTAGTGTTGCACAATTTTTTGTAACACATCAGCCATCTCCCACTGATGTAGGGTGACCAAAAAAAAGAGGAAACACTTTGCTGTTATTCATTCAATCACTATCATGCCAGAAGTATGCTGACATCACAGTTCTGATGGCTCTCCAAACTGCAACATCCTCATCCTTCCTTTAGGGTGCAGGGACTACACTGTACTTCCCACCTCACCTCTAGTACTCAAATCCAACTAACTGGTTTCACAAAATCCCCCTCATAAATACTGTATTGCTTTGCTCACACTCCAACAACATGCCTAGTCATAACAACCACTTGCTTCCACTCACTCTTATCAATCATTTACACATAAGACTGTTGGATATCCAATCCCCTAGCAATTAAAACCTCCTTTACCCTCCTTGACCATTGAACCTTTCCTGGAATGACCCCTACCCCTTCTTTCCTCCACCAAAGACTGATACACTTCTATTGTGCTCCATCCCCTCTTAACTGTCCAAATCACCTCAATAACTCTTCAACAGCTCTCTGAATAGTGCTCTGAATTCTCTGCATAATATTCACACCACACAAGATATGTACAGTGGTACCTTGACTTACGAGTTTAATTCGTTCCGTGACCGAGCTCGTAACTCAATTTGCTTGTAGTATATCAAATCAATATCCCTCACTGAAATTAACTGAAGTGCCATTAATCTGTTCCAGCGGAATTCCTGGCTTTCAGGAGCAGGAGAAAATACTTCATTATAACGCTAATATCAACTCTACGGCTCATTTATCTATCACAATTGATCTAATATGACATAATAAACAATATAAATAACATAGAAACATGATATACATATACTCTAGAATGAATAAAATATGTCATTATGTGACGAGTGGTGGCAGCCACTCCTGAGGTAAAAATAATTATCACTCTGACCATACCTTCCATTCTTGCCCTTCTGAGGTCTTATTATAAGAGAATATGGAGTGTTTGTGAGGTTAACTGCACTAGATCACTAGTTTCATAAGGAAATACTGAAACAAAAGCAATTTTCTCGTGTTTTTCTATGATTTCATGCTTTAATTCAATGGACATCCTCCTCTTCTTCTCAGCACTGTCCTTTCCACTTACTTTTTTAGGACCCATGGTCAGAAAAAAGAAATTTGGCAAAATAACTGCACAAAAAGCACAAAACGCTGGGATGCTGGCGGATGTTGTGGCATTCGCTGCACCAACCACTGGTGCCAACTATGGCAGCATATCTGAAGCTTGCTTGTAACACGGATTTTGGCTCGCAACTCAAAGCAAAAAATCAACCGAGCGATGGCTTGTAACTCGGAAAACTCGTAAGCTGGGGCACTCGTAAGTCAAGGTACCACTGTACGTATTTGAAATACAGTGGACCCCCGGTTTACGATATTATTTCATTCCAAAAGTATGTTCAGGTGCCAGTATTGACTGAATTTGTTCCCATAAGGAATATTGTGAATTAGATAGTCCATTTCAGACCCCCAAACATACACATACAAACACACTTACATAAATACACTTACATAATTGGTCGCATTGGGAGCTGATCGTAAACCGGGGGTCCACTGTACTAATTTTAGTGGTACAGTGGACCCCCGCTTTACGATCAGCTCCCAATGCGACCAATTATGTAAGTGTATTTATGTAAGTGCGTTGTACGTGTATGTTTGGGGGTCCTGAAATGGACTAATCTAATTCACAATATTCCTTATGGGAACAAATTCGTTCAGTACTGGCACCTGAACATACTTCTGGAATGAAATAATATCGTAAGCCGGGGGTCCACTGTATATGTATTATACAAAATACTTAGTACGTATATTATTTCAACTAATAGTAGCATATACGTATATAACTGGATACAATATACAGTAACATTTTTTAACAATTCAGTATTAAAGTTTTATATGAGTTTTTCCTTCTGATGGAATTTGTTTTTTACAATGGCCATCTCCTGAGGCAAGGTGACCCAAAACAGAAATGATTACTGAAAGTTATAATAAATAATTTACCTGCTCAGGATCTATTTTATTTCAATATTGAAAGCCATCCTTCAAAACTGTGGTAATTGGCAATCTTGACCAACTGAGACACACAAGCTGCAACTGAGTCCTCATTTGCTAACATTTTTTGACAAATATTAGCTCCTTCATCCCACTCTGTGATAAGCGTCCCTAAAATACAAATGCAATGTCAGGTAGAAAATGTTACTTACAGACAGAATGAATGCCAAAATTGGTTTAATTAATAAATAAAGTATAAATGTACAGTATTTGATACTGAATATATTCTCAATCCTCCCTGCCATTTTATCTAAAATTAAAACCAGTACAGTACAGTACAGTAAAACTTCCATGGTATTCAACTGAATACAGCAATATGATGTAAGTATTTTGTATTTATATAGTATATAGTTTGTAGCTTAACTTACCAAGCACTTTCACTCCATGGTGATGAGCTGTGTTAATCCAACCAGGTGGGTGAATTGTAACAAAGTGATGACTGAAGTACACAAATGTATCAATTCCCGACCAGTGATAAAACCTGTAGGCGTCTTTGTTTTTGCTTCCGCTAAACAACCTACACCCCCAAAAAACATAGTAATGGCTTAAGTCTGTAATACCTGTCTCATGTGGTATAAAAATCTCATATTTAAGGTTTCAACTACTAGAGGCCTATATCACATATGTGATAAAGTCCTCAGTGGGTTAAGCATCATATAAACAGACAGTTCTACTTGGGTATGTTTTTAAAACACTATTCATCAGCTTAAAGCCATATACTGTATCCACATACAAACCTGTCTCTGATATGAGTACAATAAACCCCTGACATAATGGACCGATCCCATTATAACAGACTTTTAAATTAAGGGCAAAATAAACTGAGTAAATTGTACTTTTAACCCCTATATTTTCAATGTTTATTGCAGTATATCTCTGTAAATTGTGAACAGAGTGAACAGGCAGCAGGTGTAAGGAGACATGCTTATATTCCCCACTTCATCTGAGATTTAACTTTAGTCCTTTGTTTGTGAGCTGAATGCATTACAATGAGCTATTAGTTACCACTGCATACTATAAAAAAACTATATACAGTACAGCACATTTTAAGTTTGTGAATGAACATTTCAGAGATTAAAACTAAGACAATTATAATGGAAAAATAAATATCCTTCAAAATTTTAGTTTTTCTATGGAACATCATTTTAGCATGACATGAACCTACATACATACCTGTCCTCTAAATATCCACCTTTCATATCATGACAAACAAGGGTTTTTGGATGTGATGGTGAATGAGGAGAAACACGAGAGCAAAGCTTCTTAGTGTTAACAATCACGTTGTGAAGATTTTGCCCTGTCCACTCCAGAAGTTCTTCCCAAGTCTTCAGTGGATAAATTTCACCAGAGCTAAGCTCCTCTGTTGGTGCCATTGTTTCTCTGGGGATAATAATATAATATTACAACCACACTAGTGAGAAATAATATATTCATTATTATACATGTATGTATAATAACAAATAATAATATAAATAATATCTTTATTTCTACAAGCATATGTACAAGGTATACAGGCCTATCTGACATCAATAACATACCACTATATAGAAAGCAGCTTGTTATGCAGAGCATTTCGGGCAAATTAGGTCAATTCTGTACCAGGATGCTACCCTACCAGTCAACTAACACCCAGGTACCCATTATTACTAATGGGTGAACACAGACAACTGGTGTAAGGAAACATGCCCAATGTTTCTACCCTCGCTGGGAATCGAACCCAGACCTCAGTGTCTGAAGCGAGACCTTTTGCCACAAGGCCCTGGGCCACCATACACATACACATTCATACACGTACACAAAAAAGCAAAGAATAATTTGCAATAAGGAATCGAATCAATGCATCTCCACTGGGGATTCAAATTTGCCATTTCTTTGATAGTCAATATGTCTCTAATTGGATTGCCAGACTGAAGTTCCTCTAAAGAAAAGCACAGCGTCTACCTACTGAGGCTCACAGGACCCTATGTCTTGCCCTTATACAATGTCATATGGACTATGCTTGCTCTTCATGGTACTCTGCCTTGACCAAAAAAACTGATAGACTGCAAATCACCCAGAACAAAATGGTAAGACTCATCCTGGACCTGGGTCCAAGAGAACATGTAAGCCAGGATGAATTACAACAATTGGATATGCTGAATGTTGAAGACAGAGTAAAATAACTGAAGTTAAATCAAGTTTTATAAAATTGCTCACACTGTACAGAATATCTTGCTGTCAGTTTTGTCAAGGTTAGGAACCAAAGCATCATAGCACCAGGGGGAGAGAGCACAACTTTGTATTTAAACACCTTTTATTGTACAGTAATAAAAAAAATGGAACAGACTGCCTGTACATGTCACAGCCAGTCATAGCATGAACCAGTTCAAGAAGAGAACCAAAATGTACCTAATGAATATAGTGACAGAAAGGGAGAATTATTTTTTTTATTTATTTTTAGCTAACACACATGTAAATATAAATAACCCATTTTTACTTTATTCCTAGTATATCTCCTTTATAGTAAATAATAAGATATTATCACTTTTATAGTATAATAATAAGGTATTAAAAGTACCCCAATGGAAATAAGTCACTGACTTTTTGTTGGGTTATCTTGGGTTCTCTACACATATGCTTACTTACTATCTATAACATGCTATAAAAAACGCTAAACCCGCATGGCATTTACTATGGAACCCCCTCACTGAAACATTCTTATTATATATATATTACTGGGGTGACGGCCACCAAAATTGAGCTTTATAAAGCTCTACCGAGACCAGGGAAAAAAATATGCTGCCTAAAATAGGGCAAGAATGAAAAAGAAATGGGAGAAACGAGAAACATTAAATTTCCAATTTGATCAGGTGGAGCCCAGGCTTAAAGTTTATTTAGTTACAGATACACATAAGTACAATTATCATACAGAGTAACGTGTAAATTACCTAGGACAACCCAAAGAAGTCAATGTGCCAGCATGTCTGTATTCCAGCAAGTTTGTACTCCACTTCACTTGTACTTCAACCTGAGAACTGAAATGTCAAAGGGGAACCTCATAGGTATGGTAACCTTAGACCTGCAAAAGGCCTTCGATACTGTCAACCACAATATATTATGTACGAAACTTCAAGCTATCAGTATAGGTTCTGTAGACTGGTTTAAGTCCTACCTTAGCAACAGGAGACAAATGTCAAAATCAACAAAACGGCATCAGAACCCCTGCCGATAACATGTGGAGTTCCCCAAGGTAGTATTCTGGGTCCCTTATTATTCTTATGTTATGTCAATGACATGCCTATCAGTGTCAAGTGCAAACTCTTACTGTATGCAGATGACAGTGCCCTGTTAGTGTCAGGTAAAGACCCACAAGATATAGCTAATGTTTTAACACTGGAACTGGAGTCCTGCAGCAAATGGTTAGTAGACAACAAACTATCATTACACCTCGGGAAAACTGAAGCCATTCTCTTTGGCACGAAACATAAACTGAGAAGGGTAAATAATTTTAATGTCCAGTGTAATGGGGAGCCATCACTTTGGTTTCATCAGTAAAATATCTGGGAATCCCCTTTGACCCATGCATGTCAGGAGAATTGATAGGGAACAGTGTAGTAAGAAAGCGAATGCCAGACTGAAGTTCCTGTATAGACAAGCACAGTGCCTACCTACTGAGCTCGCAGGACCCTATGTCTAGCCCTTATACAATGCTATATGGATTACACTTGCTCTTCATGGTACTCTGCCTTGACAAAAAAACTGAAAGATAGACTGCAAATCACCAGAACAAAATCGTAAGATTCATCCTGGGGCTGGGACCAAGAGAACATGTAGGCCAGATGAATTACAGCAGTTGGATATGCTGAATGTTGAACACAGAGTAAAACAACTGAAGCTAAATCATGTTTTTATAAAATTGCTCACAAACAGTGTCCAGAATATCTTGCTGTCAATTTTGTCAAGGTTGGAACCAAAAATCATAGTACAAGGGGGAGAGAGCACAACTTTGTAGTACCCACAGTCAGGGGCCAGGCTTCAAACACCTTTTATTGTACAGCAATAAAGGAAGGGAAACCCGACTATCCGCACATGCCCAAAGCCAGTCATAGCATGAACCAGTTCAAGAAGAGTGCCAAAAGGTGTCTGATGAATGTAGCTACAGAAGGGAGGGAATGATTTTCTTTTTTTTTAGCTAACATACGTGAAAATTTTACCTTATTCCTAGTAATGACCCTCGTATTGTAGATAGTCTTAATGACCCTCGTGTAGTAGATAGTTTTTTTTAGTATGATAATAAGATGTTATCTTCATTATAGAATAATAAGAAAATATTATAACCTTTATATTATAATAATAAGGTAAAAGGACCCCAATGGAAATAATCACTCGGTCTGACTTTTTGGGTTATCCCCGGTTCTCTACACATTTTGCTGCATGTATGATAATTCTATGTAACTGTATTTGTGTATACCTGAATAAACTTACTTACTTACACGTTTGTACTCCACCAATGCCGCCGCTGAAGTCCTCAAAAAAAAAAAAAAAAAATGCAAAGAAAACCTTGGAGGTTTTCCTTCCCCTCTGGTGTATTGTTAGTTTCTAGGGCCACCCACTTAGTGCCGCACTGTGCCACACTCTCGGGGGCCAGGGAGACCTGGTGCCGCACTGAACCAGTCTCTCAGGTGCCAGGGAGACCTGGTGCGCACGAACCATGTCTCTCGGTGCCAGGGAGACCTGGGGCCGCACTGAACCACATCTCTCGGGTGCCAGGGAACCTGGTGGCCGCACTGAAAACCCTGTCTCTCAGGTGCCAGGGAGACCTGGTGCCGCACTGAACCATGTCTCTCAGGTGCCAGGGAGACCTGGTGCCGCACTGAACCATGTCTCTCAGGTGCCAGGGGGACCTGGGGGCCGCACTGAACCATGTCTCTCAGGTGCCAGGGAGACCTGGTGCCGCACTGAACCATGTCTCTCAGGTGCCAGGGAGACCTGGTGCCGCACTGAACCATGTCTCTCAGGTGCCAGGGAGACCTGGTGCCACACTGAACCACATCTCTCGGGTGCCAGGGAGATCTGGTGCCGCACTGAACCACATCTCTCAGATGCCAAGGAGATCTCGTGCCGCACTGAACCACATCTCTCAGGTGCCAAGGAGATCTGGTGCCGCACTGAACCACATCTCTCAGGTGCCAGGGAGATCTGGTGCCTCACTGAACCACATTTCTCAGGTGCCAGGGAGATCTGGTGCCCCACTGAACCACATCCACACTGAACCACACTGTACTAAAGTACGCTTGAAAAACAGGAAAAGCACCTTATGCAAAATATATAAGGGGTGGGTGCATGATGGATGTGTATACAATTATAGCAACGGTGCCAGAATTCATTTTGTGTGTAACAAATGCACTTTGGCACAGTTACCCTTTAGCAATGATGACATTGATTTACCTAATTTTAATACAAATGACCCATTGCCATATATTGATGATTATAATTGTTTTATGAAAACGGGCCCTTCACTTTATTCATGTCAATGCAAGATCACTTCTTCCTAAATTGGCAGAGATTAGGATTCTAGCTAACAAAATTAGGGCGGCAGTTATAACCATCCTGAATCTTGGTTGAATGATCCCGGTGACTGACGACGAGGTCAAAATAGAAGGTTACAATTTATAACGCTTAGATAGGAACAGAAAGGGGGGGGAGTATGTGCCTACATTAGAAATGACTTAGCTTACAACCCAAGACCTGATTTAAATAACAAAAAACGGGAGATCCTAGGGTTTTGGGAAGTGTTGCTTCCCAAGACCAAACCCATCTTAGTAGGAACTAGTTACCGCCCTCCTACCCAGGACCAGTTCTTAGAAGACTTTTCCAGAGTCTTGCCCGGGACTTGAAAACAATTGCGAGACAAAAATACTGGGCGACTCAATATATGTTTTCAGCAGCAAAATAACGGGCTATCGAAAAGGTATAAGCAAATTCTGGGTTTAAATAGTTACACTCAATTAATTAATAACCCCAAAACCCGGGATCACACAGTTCTCAGCCACCCTAATTGACCACATAATTTGTAACCGCTCTGGAACATTAGTCAGTCAGGCGTCAATTACCACAGGTCTTAGTGATCATTTCATCATTTACTGCACCAGGAAAATCACTAGGGATAGGATAGGCCTACACGGACAATAAAATTGAGGTCAACTAGAAACTACAGAAAAGAAACACTGGTAAATAGGCTACACAATTGTGACGGGACAGAGATAACAAGTTGCACGGACGTAAACGATGCCTGGGAAAATTAAAAAACAATGTTCACTACCATCCTTGATAATATTGCACCAGTTAAAGAGGTTAGGATTAAACGAAAAACTGAACCCTGGATGACTGAGATATTAGATAATATGAAATTCAAGACCAGCTGCTAAAAAATTTAAAGCAAACCCAGACGGGATATTGCGCACTAAATGAATTCCAAAGGGTGAGGAACAGAGTACAGACTTATAAAAGGAGCAAAGGCAAAGCACTATTGCTCAAAAATTGAAAGAGTATAAGCATAACCCCAGAAAGCTCTGGCAACAACTAAAACAGTTGGGGTATACCTGGAGAAGTTCCGGGGGTCAACGCCCCCGCGGCCCGTCTGTGACCAGGCCTCCTGGTGGACCAGAGCCTGATCAACCAGCTGTTGCTGCTGGCTGCACGCAAACCAATGTACGAGCCACACCCCTGCTGATCAGGAACTGACTTTAGGTGCTTGTCCATGCCACTTGAAGACTGCCAGGGGTCTGTTGGTAATCCCCCTTATGGTGCTGGGAGGCAGTTTGAACAGTCTCGGGCCCCTGACACTTATTGTATGTAAAAGCCATAAGCCAGTAATAGGTCTAACATAGTATTTCACTGTCGATAATGAGGTATGCCACGAAACATCTAAGGTGGCAAGTTGCTTTAATTCCTACTACACATCTGTTAGTAATAAGTAAGTAAGTAAGTTTATTCAGGTATACACAAATACAGTTACATAGAATTATCATACATAGCAGCATATGTGTTAAGAACCTAGGAAAACCCAAAAAAAGTCAGACAGGTGACTTATTGTTGCATCAACACTAGTAAGTAAACTACCAGCTGCATCAAATACCTTTAACACAGACTCTGTAATTTTTAAACTACTATACCAATAAAGGGTAACCCCAAACAGTTGTCAACTAGTAAGTATATCCATGACTTTATTCAAAAAGAACTAAGCAGTTAAACCCAACTAAGAGCACAGGCCCTGATAACATCCCGTCTAAATTCCTAAAAGATGGTGCTTCTGAACTGTCAATCCCTATTGCCACATAATAAATCTATCAACACCTCTAATACCGTACCAGAGGGGTTCAAGGAGGCCAGAGTTACTCCTATCTTTAAGAAAAATAGTAGGTCTGATGTCACAACTATAGCCTGTTAGTATACTCAGTATAATATCTAAAATTCTAGAGAGGGCGGTGTACTCTCAAGTAGTTAAGTACCTTAATGACAACAACATTCTCCGTAACTATCAATCGGGCTTTAGAAGATCCTACTCAATCGGCACCCCCTAATTAATCTGATGGATTACCTTTAGAACTGAAATGTCATAGGGAAAACCCCATAGGGATGGTAACCTTAGACCTGCAAAAGGCCTCGATACTGTCAACCACAATATATTATTAAAAAACTTCAAGCTATCGGTATGGTTCTGTAGACTGGTTTAAGTCCTACCTTAGCAACAGGAAAACAAATAGTCAAAATCAACAAAAAGGAATCAGAACCCCTGCCGATAACATGTGGAGTTCCCCAAGGTAGTATTCTGGTCCCTTATTATTCTTATGTTATGTCAATGACATGCCTATCAGTGTCAAGTGCAAACTCCTACTGTATGCAGATGACAGTGCCCTGTTAGTGTCAGGTAAAGATCCACAAGATATAGCTAATGTTTTAACACTGGAACTGGGGTCCTGCAGCAAATGGTTAGTAGACAACAAACTATCATTACAAACCCCGGGAAAACTGAAGCCATTCTCTTGGCACGAAACATAAACTGAGAAGGGTAAATAATTTTAATGTTCAGTGTAATGGGGAAGCCCATCATTTTGGTTTCTTCAGTAAAATATCTGGGAATCCCCTTTGACCCATGCCCTGGCGGGGAATTGATAGGGAACAGTAGTTTAAAAAAAGCGAATGCCAGACTGAAGTTCCTGTATAAAACAAGCACAAATGTCTACCTACTGAGGCTCGCAGGACCCTATGTCTAGCCCTTATACAATGCTATATGGATTACGCTTGCTCTTCATGGTAATCTGCCTTGACAAAAAAACTGAAAGATAGACTGCAAATCACCCAGAACAAAATAGTAAGATTCATCCTGGGGGTGGACAAAGAGAACATGTAGGCCAGGATGAATTACAGCAGTTGGATATGCTGAATGTGAAGACAGTAAAACAACTGAAGCTAAATCATGTTTATAAAATTGCTCACAAACCGGTCCAGAATATCTTGCTGTCAATTTTGTCAAGGTTGGGAACCAAAGCAATCATAGTACTAGGGGGGAAGCACAACTTTGTAGTACCCACAGTCATGGCCAGGCTTCAAACACCTTTTTGTACAAACAATAAAGGAATGGAACAGACTACCCCGCACATGTCAAAGCCAGTCATAGCATGAACCCATTTCAAGAAGAGTGCCAAAAGGGGGTCTGATGAATGTAGCTACAGAAAGGGAGGGGAATATTTTTTTATTCTTTTAGCTAACATAACGTGTAAATTTTACCTTATTCCTAGTAATGACCCTCTTATTGTAGATAGTCTTAATGACCCTCGTGAGTAGATAGTCTTTTTAGGATAATAATAAGATGTTATCTTCATTATAGAATAATAAGAAAAAAATTATAACCTTTATATTATAATAATAAGGTAAAAGGACCCCAATGGAAAAAAGTCACTTTGTCTGACTTTTTTTGGGGTTTTCCCAGGTTTTCCCACACATATGCTGCTATGTTTTGATAAATTCTATGTAACTGTATTTGTGTATACCTGAATAAACTTACTTACTTTCTTACTTACTACTAATCTCTCAGGTTTCCACAGAGACCTGGGCCGCACTGAACCACATCTCTCAGGTGCCACAGAGACCTGGTGCCACCCCGAACTATATCTCTCAGGTGCCAGGGAGACCCGGTGCCGCACATTGTTGGGCTTTGAAGCGAGATCATCTGTCATTATCACTCCAGGTCCTTCACATTATTTTTTCGCTCTAATGTATGGTTAGAATTTGTTGTTTAACGTGATACAGTTTTAATTTCCTCAAGTTTCCCATATCTGGAAAGTTGAAATTTCTCTTCATTGAACTTCATATTTTTTTGAGTTAGTCCATTCGAAAAATTTAGTTGATGTCTTAAAGGTGTCTTCGATGGAGGTCACTGTCTTTGGGTAATTCGGGTGTCATCCGGAGGAAGACAGGTCGCCATGGCTTACATCTCTGTCTTTGTCAGATATGGGGATAAGGAAT